TTATTATTTCGCTTTTTTTGTCAGGCAAACGATACTAAGTCAGTCAAACCCGTTTGGATAGAGACAAACAATATTTTTAATATTATAAATATCACTATCCTAAACATAACCATCAGTTAGATATTAAAAGGGCTCCAAAGTGGTTATAATTAACCAAACGAAATTATGACAACAAAATTCAGTTAAAATTGTGTTTTTCTCACAACTACTAATTTGGACTTAATATTATCCGGATCATCGACGATATATCGTTGCAAATATTTATTTTTTGTGGAAATAAGGTAATTTTCTAATTGGTAATAACAAGTAAAGTACTCTCAATAACTTCCTCCATTTTTTTATTGTCTTTTAATTTGTTTCAGAATAATATTTCTAATATTCCTTAGATTCCCACATGAATTTTAACAAATTTATTAACAAAATTCTACAAGTGGCCGTCAATAAAATCTATTTCGGATACACTCCGCTGAAATATCCCCAGAGAAAATCGTGATTGTATTTCTCATCTAGTACGAGAAGAGAAGGGTTAACCGACTTGAATCACGCCGGGTCAGAGTTCACTACTGGACCACAACAGAAGCTGAATGAATGGGATGTGATATGAATGCATGACACCCATTTCATCTAACGGATAAAATAGAACAGGTTTTTTTCTATGTAATCGAACATGTGTGATCTAATAGGTACTTGTACTGATAAAATTAAATACTTATTATTCTATACCATTGTTGTTTTTTCTCACAGTAGGTATATATATTTTACAGAAATTATAATTATATATACCTATAAATATTATACTGTTTATGATACACAGTATCGAGTTAGAATTATCAGAAAAACTGATTCCACTTGGAATGGTTGTTGTGTGGATCTATAATAGTAGCATAACAGTCATTCTTGCCGGTCCCAAAACCAGATAAAGGAGGAAGTTATAGTGGCAGGCCAGACCCCTGTCTGACCAAAAGATATGTATAGAAATATGTGAAAATTGTATAATTTTATGAACAAAATTTCACTAAATTGCAAATTGTATACTACCTACAACATAATAAACTAGTTTACGAATAAGTTTAAGCTGCTGCATGTGATACCCAAATATACCTATATAAAAAATGCTTTGTTGCTTGTACCTAAACGTACTGTAATTTCTTAGTTATTCGTTAAGGAACTCTTCCACTGAATAATATGATCTCTCAGATAGATAGGCTTTTGTCAATTTACGGAAGAATAAAGAAGTTGTAGATTTAAGTTGCAAAGAGAGATGGTTGAATAATTTTTTTGCCGAATATAATATAGATTTCTTTACTAACTTAGTGGACGGGATCTGTATCAAAGCTTGAATTTCTGGTGGAGTAGTTATGATTAGGCGAAGAATTAGAATTTAGAATTAAGCAAACAGTTTCTAGAATATATAGAGAGGGAAGAGTTAAAATCCCGTGAATTTGAAGTAGCTTCTGTAATGTGTTATTCTACTGAGGCCAAAACGATACCGTAGTAAGTATTTCTCGTTTTTGTAATATTTAAATAACATCAGATTGGGCAGCTGTACCAGAACCCCAAAAAGGAAGGCCATATCGAAAATGAGACTCGAACAAAGAAAACTATGTTTCCTTCGAAACAGATCTTATTGCATAGCAGGCAAAAGTTTCTTACTTAACTAATTTCTTACAGGCTAGTTTCTTACTTAACTAATCGATATGAACGAATCAGAGAAAAAAATGATGCCAAATCAACCAACAACCTTTCCTGGGCTGTGGAATGATCTCGACGTGGTGGCTTGTGACCAGGGGATGAATGGCTACATGGAAGTAGTCCTAAACGGTGCCCCCGTAAACTAGGAAAAGAAATAGCCTTAACTATTGGGGAGCACTGTCCAGCCAAACTATAGAACTACCTTACTCGTGGAAATATGGATAAAGAAGAGAATACAACGAATATATATATATATATATATATATATATATATATATATATATATATATATACAGATTTGGAAAAATTTATATGGAACATAGGATTTCTAATACAATAACTCAGATCCTCTGAATTTGCAATTAACCAGTGTAAATTTCAATACAACGTCGCGATGTTTTATAATTAATTCATTTGTTCGACTGGAGTCTGAATTCATGCCGCGATGCTGCCAGTGTAAGTGTAAAGACGGAACACGGCTAGAGTGCATGTCAATTCGCCGAAAACGTACGTATTTATAAATGTAGATATGGAATTAAAAATATTATTTAACTAAAAAAAAGGTTATGTTTTATTGACAAAACGGCTTGAAAAAAAAGTAGATTTCTAAAAATAAAAATAAAAAGGAATTTCAAAAATAAAATAATAATACACTCTTTTGAATTTGAAATTATAAACAATATTTAGAATAATAAATGTAGTTAAGTATAAATTTGATCATTCAAATAATACCTAATGAACACAAACAAAATTGATGTTAGAATGTTATAATAATGAGGATGTTATAATAAAACATTATTTATTATCTCCACAAAACCGGACTTTCAGGAAAAATCGGTAGACGGAGCAACACTGTCAGCGTGCCACAAACGCTACTACAAACCACAGAGGAGAGGCAATCCAGTGGAACAAATAAATTAGTTATAAAACATCGCGACGTTATACAGAAATTTACACTGGTTAATTGCATATCAGGGAATCTTAGTTATTGTATTAAAAATCCTATGTTCCGTAAATAAAATTCCAAGTGTGTATATATACACACTTGGAGTTCCAGAGGAACAGACGGGAATTTGGCGGCATGGAAGTTAAGGCTACTGAGAGCTAACACAGCTACTGAGAGCTTACATGGAAAAATGTCTGCATACAGAGAGATACGAGATTCGACACAGCAGAGAAAAGGTAGAAACACAGACAAACAAATAAGAAATCGAGAAAGACCTAGAAATGAGGTAAAAAAGAATAGAGGGGGAGATATTCGCCTCCCAGGAACAGGATATGACAGACACAGAGTTCGTCAAATACGAAAACGAGAAATGGCTAGAAGCAAGCTACAAAGCAATCAAGCTTGCAGAAAGAAGGAAAGTAACCCCAACAAGGGAAAATAACGTGATAATAGCCATAGACAAAACGAATGAGCTCACGGAAGATAAGTACGTCACGCAGGGGGTAAACGGACACACAGATCTACATAAACTCGTGGAAAATAATAAAGCAGCCTCAGCTTACGTTCTGAACTGGACCATGTCGAAAATGAGAGGAGACAAGAGTAAAAGAAATATGAAGGTGGCCTATATGACTCTAATCGGGAGAGGAGGCATTAAGAGCATGGGTTCAGAAAATGCAGATCTGTCTTAGATGCCATAAACAGGTTAGTAAGGGAGAAAGAAGCATGCAGGGGTAGTTGGACGGTGGCACTCTTTCTGGGCGTTAAGAACGTATTTAACAACGCGAGCTGGGAGAAAATCATCAGACCATTGGAAGAAAGGGCAATATAGTGATAAACCTAGGAGAGGGAGTATAGGCTATTGCTTACTAGGACGACCTCCTAGTCATGCTAGTGGAGCAATTCGAGAATGAGCCCATAATGGATAGGGCAAATACAGCCATTGTACTAGTGTGGATGAGACTAGAGGAGAAAAAACTAACGCTAGCCACACAGAAGACGGAGGCTATAATCTTCAAGAGTCCCAAAATGAGAGCATATCTTCTTCACTTTGACAGGAAAAAATATTCTACCTGTCAAGAAAGTCAAATACTGGATACAGCAGCGCTAACAAAGATCATGCCAAACATAAGGGGTCCGGGGACAGACATAAGGAGGATTCTCATGGAAGTGATCCACTTCACCATACTATATGCGGCACCAGTATGAGACCAGGTAATGCATGAACAAAAGTACAGAAGAATTCTGGAGAAAGCTCACAGAAAGGCTCTGCTGAGGGTCGTCTGTGTATATAAGACAACTTCGAAAAATGTCTTACAAGTGATAGCGGAGGTGTCACCAATTCATCTACTAATGAGAGAAAGAGCAATCGCATAAAGCATGAGTGAAAAGGATAAAGCAGACGAGAGAGAAGTGATCAACGCGAAATGGCAAGAAGAGTGGAAAACGAACATAGAGCCGAATGGACAAGGATACTCATACCGGATGTGAGAGACTGGAGCTAACGAGAGAGTGGAGAATGGATGAACGAATGGAAGAAGTTAGGGCGAATAACATAATGGAAGTGGCAAGAAGAGCAGAAAATGAATATAACGAAATACTGGTGGCAATAACTAGAATAATAAAAAGGAAGGAGATCATAGAAAGGGATTTAGAGCAGACATAAACGCTAAAAGGAACAAGAGAAAAGAAAGAAATCCATGCGTTCATATTAGGACAGTCTAGGGCACGATTTCCAAGAGGGGAAATGTACTCGGAAGTATCCTTTACTCTGAATCCAACACACGTCTTTAGAAGAGATTTTACATCCTCACAAAAAAAGATCAACAAAAGATGAAATTTTCATCATAAGGCAGTTGGTTTAAAAATTCAGGAATAAATCAACAAACAGCATTGATCTTGAGAATGCGTTTGGTAGAGTTCCTTCAGAGATTCTGTGATGGGCTCTTAATAAGAAAGGAAATCCCAGTAGGTATGTGAAGATTGTGAGAGACATGTATAAGAGAGTAACAACTCAAGTTAGGTTAGGTGTGGAAGTAATACATGGAGGACTAGATTTTGGAACCAGGAACGATGCTAATGACAGCATTATATTATATCAGCATATGTTAACATATTATTCCAAAAGAGATAAAGTCAACTTATTACTTACAAATGTAGCCAAAATAGAATATTTTATAAGAAAAAATGATATAGGTAGTTAAATGTGTAAGCCTGTAACTGTAACAATATAAATTGCTTGTGCTAGACGTTAAAAACCTTAAGAAAATACAAAAAATTGCAGAGTTGCTTGTTCCTGAAAGGAGTGGTTGGGGAGTACCAATATTCAAAATCTTGTATAGTAACAAATAAATATCAAAAATTAACATACCAATCTTTATTTAAAACAAATTCACACTATATAATTTCTTAAGTACATACACAAAAGTGGAATGATATGTTCATTAACAATAATTTCAAATTATCCTAAACTGGAGGTGTTTGAAGAATTGCTGGTTCTCCTTCCTGGAGCAACTGCAACAGAAGATCTAAAGCTCAAAGAAGTGGCAGACATATAGAATTCTTCCCCATCCACATCGTCTCCAGATGAGGGTGTAGGTGATGGTGACGGAGGCGATAATACTCTATCTTCTTGCTCTTGTAACATTTGTCTATATTCTTGTAGAGATTCATTTAGAGACCATAATTGGGATAACAGCGATAAGTCTAGTTGGCGTAAATTGTACATTTCTTGTTTTAAGATTGCTAGTTTTGTATCAAGTGGTGAGTTTCTTGTAGCTCCTCCAACTTGTATGAGTTGGACATTAGATTCTGGATATAAAAGAGGAGATGAATGTGATGTAGAACGAACAGATGATGTTCTAGCAGGTGTTGGTGGCAGATTCGTAGGAAATTCTGATAGTTTAAAGCCACTGAGACTTTTAGGCAGTGGAGGTAGTCCTGGGTAGGACATATTGAGGCTGTTACACTTTTAATTACACAATGCAAAACATTATTACACAATTTAATCCATTTCTTATGGAGATTATTTACATTAAGTTTGTTTAATTTATATTAAAATTAGATTGGTTTTTCAAAGGTAAAATATGTAAATAAAAATATAAACATAACCCTTTACTTGTACTTTGACACTGTCATTTGACTTGACTTGACTGTCTAGCTGTCTATTTGACATAGCGTAATTCCAAGTTCTGTGTTACATGGGCTTGTTCATCCACAAAATAAAACACATTTCTGTTTACTCTGTGGTTCCTATATATCGCAAAATTTTTATTTGCAAGTACAATCTTTATCGTAGAATATGAAAATATAACAAATAGTAAAATATATTATGTTTAAAACACTTGAAATTGTATATTAATCTGCCTATATTAGTTCGGAGACAATATAAATAAATATATTCAAATGACAAGTAATGTTATGTTGGTAGCTTTGAAGGACACAATCGATCGCGGGAAATTTTGACATTGCATGCAAAGAATCCACAAAAGAATCTCAAAAATTGGATTAGTTAGGAGGTTATTGTTATTTTTGATTGTTTATTTTTATTTGTTTTATAAAATCACAATAACAAATTATGAAAAACAATTGGTATAGGCTTTTATGCAAAAAAAGTGAATTGCAGTTGCTAGGTTCCTTGAATGGTGGCCAAAGTTTTAGGTATAATTTACTTTTGTCTTCAATCTCTATATTTTATTAATTTAAGCCTCATATTATTGTAAATATGGTATAATCAACGGATATAGACGCACATGCGTCTATTATATTCGTTGATATAATTTCCAAAGTATTGCCAATTAATGAAGAAGAAGCTTACATTTCTTGTTGCCTGCTTCAATGTTTCTAACGATTGGGGAGTTTTTAGAATAAAGGATACTGAAGTCTATTTCTCTTTTTATTTTTAAAATTTGAAAATATCAAACATGTATCTATATATTTATTACATTTTGTAGATGGAAGAAGCATCCAAAAAATGAAGATCAGTGGATAGGTGTGTTCGCAAACAAAGTATGGATTCTAAAACAGGAAGAAGATTGCATTAATTATCAGGTTTTTGAACCGAAAGAATACAAAGGTGAACCTATGGAAACATACTATAATTCTTTATTAAAAGATTATTTCCAATTAGATTTGAATCTCACTAAACACTATGCAGAATGGTCTGAATGTGATAAGTATTTTAAGGAAGCTGCGAAACAATTTTATGGTATAAGAATATTAAAACAAGATGTTGTTGAGAACATATTTTCCTTTATATGCTCTTCAAATAATCACATTACGAGGTACATTTTCTTTTGTATCTAATATGATATTTTATTTGATTGTTATATTCTGAATTTTAAGTAATACTCATTTTTTCACACAAGGTTCACATTTTTTTAAATAGGTATAATTATTGATATATGTTCGTGATATGTAAAAATATCTGTTGTGTTTGATGGTAAAATTTAATATTATTTTATATGACATTAAACTGTAGTTGATTGTAGTGAGAAATACATTTTACATTTATTCTAGAGTAACTTCATTACTTTTTCTAATATCTTATAATTTTTAGGATAAGTGGCATGGTTGAGAAATTAGCCAAATTCTACGGAAATGAAATATGTGAAGTGGAAGGAGAAATGTATTATTCATTTCCAGATGTTGATCAGTTAGCTGGGAATAAAGTGGAAGATAAACTGAAGACTAATGGTTTTGGATATAGATCTAAGTATATTAGTAAATCTGCGAAATTCATAGTAGAACAGGGTGGAAATGATTGGTTAGTTAAGCTTAAGAATATGCCCTACGATGATGCTAAGAAATCTTTAATGTCTTTGACTGGAGTTGGTGCTAAGGTATGTTTTAAGTATTTACAACTGAGGAAGTATTTTGTAATTTTGTATGCTACCTTATCTGTTGGTAAACTTTACTGATTTAAGATTCTGAATTTGACAAGAAATTGAAATTGATAGTAAGTACCCAGAGGGAAAACAGTCTGGCTTTTCAAGAATATTTTGAAATACAATAATTTGTAAAGGATTGTAAAAGAATGATACAAACTCTGATTCAAGAACACTGTCTTATGTTAATACAGTCATATGGGGTGTTGAATAAAAAAAAAAAACAAGAATGCTTTGAAAGTTGATAATTACAGTATACTAAGAAAAATATTTGTATGAATTAATATAGAGGAGTGGAAAGTTGTATAGTTATATTTGTAAACCTGAAATCAACAAATGTTAAAATAAAAACATTTCATTAATTTACAATATAGGAAGAGTTTCAGGCGACAGAGGAAATTGTCTTGTGTGACACTTAGGTAGATTGGCTTCTTCTTCTACTTAATATTGTTAGACTGTTGAAGACAAAACATTTGCAACTTGAGCTGATATTTATTAACTATGGTATGGTGATATGAGTATATTAGATGTATAAAAACTGAGTATGGAATTTTTCATGATCGTGTGGAAGTTTAGATTTGTATCCTTTGTTTATCCTAAATGTTATAACACCTTATCAGTGGTCCAGTTTTGTTTGTCTACTAAGAATGTCTTGATAAGCCTCTAGACGAGAAACAAGTGACTCTGTAAGTTTCCTTGTTGTATATTCTTCTATTAATTATCTGTTTGTTTTCTATTAGGGATTCTTCTTCTATAAGTTCCATCTTCTATTGAAGGTTGGAAATCATCTTGGCTATGCAGACTCTGGTGACTGCCGCTCTAAAAAGTTCTGCCATTCCCTTAAGTTCTTAAGTCAGGATATTCTTTGTCTTCCCACATTTCGTTTTCCTCAGATTTTGCCCTGCATAATAAGTTGTAATAATGCATATTTTTGCCCTCTCATCACATGTCTTAAGTACTCAAGTTTTCGTCTTTTAATAGTTAATATTATTTCTGCCTTATTTCCTATCCTTCTAGTTACTTCCACGTTTGACATTCTTTGAATCCATGATATTCATAGGATTCTTCTGTAACACCAAAATTCAAAGGCGGCCAACTTATTCAGATGGACTTGTTTTAGTGTCCACGCTTCCAAGCCATAAAGAAGAGTAGAGAACATGCACCATCGAATCATTCTCAGGCGTAGTTCTAATCTTATATCTTAACAACAAAGAAACATTTTAAGTTTAATGAATGATGTACATGCTATTTCAATATGTGTCTTAATTTCTTTGGTTTGGTCTACATCTAATGTTATCCATATTATTAAGTATTTATAGTTATTAACACTCTTAATTGCAGTATATTTAATAGTCAATTGGATATTTGCATGTGCAGATTTAGTCATGATCATGCATTTAGTTTTCTTTAAATTTATCTTCAGTCTGTACTCATGACAGTGTTTATTAAGGCATTTCATTACGTTCTGTAAATCATTGTTGTTATCCGTCATTATTACTGTATCATCTGCAAAACGTAAGTTATTCAAAACTTCTCCATTGGTAGATATACCTTCTATTGAGTCTGAGAGGCGTTCGATAGGGATGTGTGCTTTCCCCTCTTTTATTTAACATTTATTCAGAAGCCATATTTCAAGAGTCTTTGGAGGATGCAGAGATGGGAATCAAAGTGAATGGAGTATTGATCAACAACATAAGATATGCTGATGATGGTGTCTTAATTTGTGACAACATAGTCGATCTTCAACAACTTGTCACTATAATCGGAGAATACAGTGAGCGAATGGGACTAGAGATTAATACCAAAAAGACCAAATTCATGATCATCTCCAGAAACTTGGATGCATTTGAAAACTCCACCATAACACTGAATAGTAAATCCATAGAAAGAGTGAGTAAATTTAAATACCTGGGATCGTGGCTTTTTGAAGACTGGGCATCGGACAGGGAAGTAAAATGTCGCATTGAGCAAGCTCGACAAGCTTTCGTAAAATTCAAGAAGGTACTGACTTGTTCTGAGTTCGATCTTCAACTGAGACTAAGGTTTACTAAGTGCTACGTATGGTCAGTGCTGCTATATGGCGTAGAGGGCTGGACACTCAAAACGAGGGATATAAACAGATTGGAAGCTTTCGAAATGTGGCTTTATCGCCGTATCCTAAAAATACCATGGACAGCGAAAATCACAAATATAGATGTCCTTAAAAGAATAAACCAAGAACGCCAACTTTTCGAAACCATCAAGAAAAGGAAAACGGCGTATCTAGGTCACATCATGCGAAATGAAAAATACCAGTTCCTCCAACTTATAATCGAGGGTAAAATTGAAGGCAAGAGAGGAATGGGACGCAAGAAAATGTCCTGGCTCCGAAACATAAGGCAATGGACAGGGATTAACGACATACAATCTCTGATACATATTGCAAGAAATAGAGAGTTAATGGAAAATGTGATCGCTAACATCCATTAGTGGATTTGCATCTGAAGAAGAAGAAGAAGAGTCTGAGAGTGCTTCTTGAAATACTGCTTCACTGTAGACATTGAAAAGTAGTGGGGACAGCACACAACCCTGGCAGACTCCTTTTTGTATTTTGATATTTTCAATGTACTGGCTGTCAACTCTTACCTTGGCAATTTGATTCCAATATAAATTAGATATAATTTTCATATCACGACTGTCAATATTTTTGCTTTTTAATATATCTACAAGCTTTTTATGTTGAACCTTATCAAATGCCTTTTCAAAATTTACAAAACATATTAGGGATAGTGTTGTGCATTTGTGTGATTGGAGAATCTATTGCAACTGACTGAATGACTAATGTCTATGCCATTAAAAAAAAATACAAAAACTAAATGGATAAATAATACAACACTGTGAATTTCATAGTACATAATCTAGATGGATACATAATATAACATAGTGGAATAAGAACAGGAAACGGAAACAGACAGATCAAGATATTAGAGGATTTAGATAGATGTTTTGCAAAATAGAGGATTATAAGGTAACTTATATGTAGCAAGTAATGATTTTAGTAAACCCAAATCAAAGTAACAAACCCCCCCCCCAAACTCTATCAGTTTATTTTTCTTTAATAAACTAGACAAAGGTTGTAATATATAGATATTTTTTAGGTAGCAGATTGCATATGTCTAATGTCTTTAGGCCATCTTCAAGCAATTCCTGTAGATACACATATTTACCAAATAGCAAAACGATTATACATGCCAAGCTTGCCTAATAATAAAACTGTTACAGAAAAAGTATATAATGACATAGGAGATAACTTCAGAAAATTATATGGACCATTAGCAGGCTGGGCTCACACAGTAAGATTTTTTTTTTAGTTTTATTAAAATTTAACAGTTAAAGATGTGAAAATGTTCATTATAATAATTTGATAACACTTTCAAAAGGGGTAAAATTTATTTTTGATTTGTATAGAAATTTTTTTATACTCTAAGATACAACTATATTATTCACTTGATTCCTTCATTCAGAAATTTATCTTCCGAGTTCTATTTTCTTCTGGTGCTTATTATATTTATTTTGGACATATTTATGCCTTATATAACACTCTAAATAAAATTATAATGCTTTATTAGTTTATTTTTATATTTATTGTATAAAATCTGGCATGATCTGGCAATGCTGAACAATTGGCCACAGTGCAGGAGTTTCATATACAGCAAGAGAGCAGTATAATGGTATGGGGTGGCATCACTCTTGGTGAAAGAACCAATCTTATTTGTCTGGAACAGTTTCTAAACTCAACAGACTACCACAATATTATTCTCGAACCTATTGTACCCTTTGCACAACTAGCTGGTTCCCAATTTCATTTAATGCAAGACAATGACGTCCACATACTGTCAGGGCCATGCAAACATTTATTGAAGATAATGGAATTGAGGTTTTACCATGGCCTGCACAATCGCTAGATTTAAACCCAATTAAGCATGTATGGGACATATTGGGCAGACGCCTTTTACAACAAAACATTGTGTTCAATACAAGACAGCAACTGTTTGAGTGCCTTTCAATGCAGTGGAACAGAACACTGCAGTAAGACATGGACCATCTGATCATGAGTTTGTCTTACAGATGTAGGAAAGTAATTAACAACCATGGAGGTCATAAACTATACTAACTTAACCTAAAGACTACTTTGTTGGGAGTTGAGGGTCAACAAATTAGTTTTTTATTTTTTTTTGTTACCATTTTTTGACTTATGGAGTTCTCTTTTAATTTTTTTTAAGAGCTGTTGCGATAATTCTAAGAAAAAATGTTTATTTTATATTCATGACACTTGCTTATAACTTTTTATTAAAAATATTTGTAATCTTCTGTAATCTCGCATTTTGTTTTTGTCCCCTATATTATTTTGATATATTAATAAATATTTGTAAAGCTTTAAGAGATTAAATAATACAATTTTTTCATTCTAATTAGTTTTTTTTTGTTGAATTTTTTATCACCTACCCATTAAAGATGGATTGATATATTCTTCTTTTTTTTTATTCTTTCATCTAAACATATTTCTTGTTTAACGATATCAGTGAGATTTGTGATTTGTCTTGGGGTACTATCATCCTATTAATGTCTGTTCTAATCTTTATTTCTATCTTGCACCCATTTCAGGTTGTCTATTAGCTTTCTTTCTGTTTGGAGTTGGAACATTTGGATGTTTCTTTGGTTTCTCATTTGATTTATTCCTAAGTATCTTCGTGTTATGGTAGTTCCAGGACTTGCTTTCTCAGTGCAACTATCCTAATTAAAGAAGACTTTATTTTGTTGGTATCTATATTAGTAAAACATAACTTTACTATTAATTTACTCTGATTAAATAATATTCTATGATATTTGCTCTTTTGTAATATAAAAACCATTTTTTGTGTTTCAGGTATTATTTTGTGCTGATCTAAAAAAGTTTCAAGGAAATAATCTGGAAGAGAATGAAGGAGACACGAAGCCGAAGAAAAAAATGAAATCAACTAAATAATTTGAATCCTTGATGTTTTTAATCCAATGATTTTAAGTGTATTTTTTATTTTATGTATTAAGTTTTTAAAGTAAATGTTTTTTTATTTTTTTATGCAAAATTTTGACATTTTCAATAATAGGGCAACCTGATTATAGCCACAATGACTGACCATGGAACAAAATATTTGGGTTTGACAGTGTTGCCATTTCCTTATAATTGGCAAAGGGCATGGATATATCAATACACCAGTTTCAAAGTGTAACAAGTCAGAAATCATTAGTTAGGAGAAAATAGGGAATATCTATTCTCCAACATGTTTGTGTTAGATAATTTTATTATTTTGTTAATATAATAGCAATCAACATATTTTATTAATGTTTCCAGAGATACAAGCTAAACTATGATGTTATTAAAAAAGAAATGTATTCATATATAATAAGTAATTTGAAGGTATTTGTCTAATTGTTACACTTAACTTACACTAAACATTTTTCATATTTCATTGAAAGTTCAAATTACGTATGAGATTTGTTTGAATAAACAAAATAAAAAGCTTAATGTCTGTTCCCTGTCTTCTTGTTCTCCGATCAACATTTATACTTTTAAATTGTTTCTCAAAAAATGATTTTTTGTATAAAATTGGTAGGGAGCTAATTTGTCTACTTGAACAATAAACACTCACAATATCACTCCATTTAATTGTTTCTCCGCTGTTATTTTTTGTATAGTTTCTGAATTTGTAACCAAAGCTCTCACATCCATGAAATCGAGAAACTTGTTAGTAATATAGGGTTTTCTATTTTTCTTTACCAAATTTATTATAGGTGTTAGTTGTGAAGGTATATACAATGGTCCTCCTTTCAGAGCATGTTTTTTTTCACGTTCTATAAGAGCATGCATTGCATAAAAAAACTTATGAGTACTTAATGATTTCAATAATTGTATTTAGTACAATGTAGGAGTAAGAAGTAGAAGATCCAAATCAACCACCCACAGGAGCAAGCAACAACTCACCATTAGAGTCTCCATCAATTCAAGAAGTATGAGATGCAATAAAACACCTAAAAAACAATAAATCTCCAGGAAGTGATGGTATACCCATGGAACTTATTAAATGTGGAGGTGCTACTGTGACTAATCAAATATATAAAATAATATTGAGAGCCTGGAATAAGGAACAAATCCCGGAAGAGTGGTGTATTGAAATCGTTTGCCCGGTACACAAAAAGGGTGACCAATTGGAATGTAGAAACTATAGGAGAATAACCCTCCTTAATACAGCATACAAAATATTTTCGAGGATCTTATATGGTCGCCTAAGTGCATATTCAGAGGAACTTCTTGGGGAATATCAAAGTGGCTTTAGGCCTGGTCGATCACCAACAGATCAGATCTTTGTGCTAAGACAAATACTGGAAAAAACCAATGAATTCAACATCGATACATACCATCTTTTTGTAGACTTCAAATCTGCCTATGATAGTGTCCTAAGAAATAAATTGTATGAAGCCATGAATGAATTCCACATCCCTGATAAACTGATAAGATTGGTTAAGGCTACAATGCTTAATGTGGTTTGCAAAGTCGAAATACAGCGCGAACAATCACAGGCGTTTGGAACGCATGTTGGGCTGCGACAGGGAGACGCGCTGGCGTGTTTCCTTTTCAACATAGCACTGGAAAAGGCGATCAGAGAACAGAGATCAGAGGAAATATTTTTAATAAATCATCCCAAATTTTGGCATATGCAGATGATGTGGATCTATTTGCCCGCACAACACACAAGCTAGAAGAAATGTATACCACCTTCTCAAATGCCTCAAAATCTATGGGCATGCAAGTAAATGAGGAGAAAACTAAGATGATGGCATCAACACCCAAGAGAGTCAGGAACATCGGTCCCCAATTCACGGTTGATAACTCTACCTTTGAAGTGGTGGACAAATTCACATAGTTAGGCTCCCTGATCACCAAAGAGAACGCCATAACGGAAGAAATCAAGCGAAGGATAATAATGGCAAACAGATGCTATTTTGGACTGAGTAGACATAGGAGGAGTAGAAACGTAAGCCAAAAAACAAAAATAAAAATATACAAAACCCTTATACAGCCAGTGTTGACATATGGATCGGAGACATGGACCATCTCCAATGCAGACGAAGACCTTCTGCTTATATTTGAACGAAGGATCCTGAGAGGAATATTTGGTGGCATCTGTGAAAATGGTGTTTGGAGGAGGAGATACAACTACGAGGTATACCACAGATATAAACAAATATTTGGTGGTAAAGACGTAGTATCTCTTATAAGAATAGGAAGACTAAGGTGGGCAGGACATCTAGCAAGATCACAGCAGAACAACCCTCCTAGAAGAATCCTTATGTCACAACCCGTGGGAAGTAGAAGTAGGGGTAGGCCAAAACTCAGATGGAAGGATGGTGTAGATGAGGATGGTAGAAAGATAGGCGCAGCAAACTGGCAATGGTTGGCAATGGATAGGACTGCCTGGCGTAATAGACTTGGGAAGGTCGAGGCTCTTTCATAGGGCTGTAGCACCATTGAGGATGATGAGGAGTAAGGAGCCCATATAAACTTATTTTTATTTTGCCCATAGCAATTTTTGGAAAAAATGACATGTTTTACCATAACATGATCCCTATTTCGTTAACATCTCAACGAGCAACTCCTTCGGGTCAGAAATAGCAATATTCTTGGTTATTATTTATATCGTAAATTGTGAAGTTATAACGGGCAATCCGTTTTTTATATAAAAAAAATCACTTCTGTCTCCGTTTGAAGCAACTTGAACTGCTTGCAAGTAAAAACTACAATTGATGAATAAGACATTTTTAAATTATTTTCTTTTTCTAATCGACTTTGGTTCTGTTCATTAAGGTGAGTATCAAAGCTGTCCCGGTTTTTCAGCTTGTCCTCTTTGGATAGATTTTTAAAATATTTATAGAAACAACATGCATTTTCATTTTTTTGTAAATTGAAATACTATCCATAATTGCATGAGCATTGCATTTAGGCCTGAAAAAGCAGGTTACTAAAATCACGTCGGAAGAGAGAAGCAGAAATGTAACTGTGTTACTATCAACGCGACAGGTGATGTATTTTTTCTTCCATTATTTGTATTTGGTAGGGTTAAAATTGCAGAAGAGTTGAAGAAGGATGCTCCGAAGTATTTCGGAAGTAAGGTGTATTTTTGCTTGTGAACAAAGTGTTCACAATCGGTGTTCACTATTTTTAAAAACGGTGGGAAAGTAAGGAAAACGGGAAGACTAGGAATTCGGAGGAGAAGAAAATCATGGTTAAAAAACCTGAGGAAATTATTCTCCACAACAACAACTAATCTATTTAAAGCATCAGTTAATAAAATAATTATAGCCAGAACTGAGGAATTACACTTCTAAGAATTTATTTGAAAGATACTAGAAGCACGGATAAAACTAAAAATTAAAAAGTTTTCAAAAAGGAAAGAGCACAAAGAGTCAAATATGAGGAAATATCAAAAACAATAAAAAATTTACATAGCATTTATAAATTCCCAAGAGAAAATGAAAGAAAAGGGGAATAAATAATACAATGGTAAGAAAAATAAAGAACACAAAAACAATCGCATAATCAGTCAGAACACTGAAGCATTTTTCTATATTTTGCTTTTCAAACTCTGGCAACAAAATTTAGTATTAATGTCTATTCGCTTAGCTCACGGGTGGGCGACTCTTATGAGAGTGACATTTCTTTGCTTTTTACTACGACCCAGGATACGAGGTGGCGCACGCAGACAAGTGTTGTTTATTTAGACAACTTATGATACACAATATTAATAAGTTGGTTGCCAATCAAGAAATATACAAATCCAAATACACGCAACCCAAACAACACGCCTGACACGGGACACCCGACACCCATTTTATTAGGTTATTTATGTGGTATACATGTGGTATATTAATTATGTTATGATTGAGATCGCTAGTAGTTTATGTGTTACCAGGTGTTACTACTCATTTTACAAGTTGGTGATATATAATAAAGTGAATATAAACAATAAAACTAGAAATAATGGTTTCAAAGTGCTGCGTTTTAGGTTGTAGAAACACTAGCCAAAAGGCCCAGCTGCATACGTTTCCAAAAGACGAGAAGGTAAGTTAAATTTTTATTATTTATTATTTTTCTACCAATAAAGACCAATATATAGTTTTAGTTCTCAGAGTGTAGGACTTCTAAAAATATATCTTATTCAAGGGGTATTATTGTAAAGTGAATGGTACCTTTTTATGACTTTACTGTATGCATGTATATGCACTGTCTATATTTTTGTTCTTTTTTTTCTAGATTTGGTCAATGTGGATAAAGAATATTGGTCGAGAAGATTTGAAAAACAAAACCATAGATCATTTAAGAAGATCTTATCGCATATGTAACATACATTTTGATGATAATCAAAAATATATTGGAAGTCGATACAAATCTACCATTAAGCAAGATGCAGTGCCTACTTTGTTTCTTCCAATTATTAAAAATGGTAAGTACTAAGAAAATTTAATTAATTAGTCAGTATAAATTATTTTTTGTTTAGTTAAAGAATCTGAAGTTATGCCAGCTGTAGAATCTGAAGTTATGCCAGCTGTAGAAGTACCCAGTACATCAAAATTTAATGAAAGTGGAATTCCCCAATCTCCTGTTCGTGATGTTACTGCACCTAAAACATTTTCAACTCCAGCTAAGCAAAAAGGTAATTTTTATAAAAGAATCTTATGTACTACTGTTATTTTATTCCTTTCTTTTCCTTACAGTGGGATTATTGATGTTCTCTTCCCATTAATAACTAAAATTCAGGGTTTTCTTTAAGCTTGTTTTGTCCCTGATATGTTGAAAGAATGTATATAATAATCAATTTTCTTTTTTTATAGGTTTAAGAAGTAAATTAAGACTTTTGGCCTACAGTGGAACAGAATCAGTTGCTAAACTAACACCTAAGGCGAAAAAATTTTACAGAATTGCAAAAGATCTTCGTAAAACTGCTAAACGACTGGATTTTAAATGTTTGAATTTGAAAAAGGAATTAAGAAGAGTTGAAA